TTTTTTAAGATTGTTGTCACTGTGTGTTCTCAAGGTTTGAACAATCTTTGAACTCCCCACTGGAAGGGAGAGGTCAATATAGAGTCCGATGAAGTTCTTAAGAGCGCATTTCAGTCTGAGACTTTCTGTGTGATACTTTTATCATGCAGTCCTAGCTCTGTACCTCTACTTTTCTGTCTGTACAATGGCTGTGGAAACATTCTCCTCTTTCTCTAAAATAATAATTTAATACAAAGCAACTGTGTTCCAAAAGCAAACTGCATTCCTAATGACATTGTAATGCATATGGTAATGCTTATTTCTGGTACCTCAATCGGACTGTTAATATTTCTATGAGTCATGAATGCTTAAAAACATTTACCTGTTGGCTTAATTTTGGTATTTGTGATCAATCTTCACTTTAGCATCTATCACTACCGGCCTTCTGAAGGTTAAATAATTTGTTCATAACTGGACATCACTGGAAGGCCATTGAATTGGTGAATTACATTTTCTACATTAGCTTCAAATGACTTGTAGAGACAACTTAATACATACATTATGTGATGAAATGGCTAAAGATATGCATAAATATTTGACTAAGTCACTTAAATATAAGAAAGGAACGTTCTAAATATGTAAAAATGGACTCCATATCTCAGAGCTATTGTGTTAACTGCGTGAAATAATGTACTTTATGAAACTATTTAAATTGCATAAAAAACTTTGTGACTTACAGGTAAATTTGTCAGCATCTAATTGAGTAAGAGATTCTTGAAAGCTTTCACTCCAGTTGTTAATTCAGCATCATTGTTCTCTCAGGCTGTTACGTGACCCAACAGGCTGCGAGAACAATATTGCTGAATGTAATTGGCATATGTCAGCAAAATATAATTAGTAACAAGCCTTTTTCTGAAATGCTCTTTTTTGTTGGTTTAAAAAAGTCGAAGATTTCCTCTTGGATTAAATTATAGCTTGGATTTCTCTCTCACTTGATTTTGGTTAGGTCTTAAAAGAAAGCGCGAATTAATTTAAATTTTGATTCGAGAAGTATGTATTGATTTCCTGTGCTGTGTACACACTCTGAAGGCTTGTCTTTCCTTCAGTGGGTTTTTAGTTTGATTTTGGGTATGAGAGCTTTGTATAGGAAATACGAAACACTGTATTATCAAGGGTGATCACGAATGCCCATCCCCTCAATTTTCATCCCAGCCCCTCCTCCCTGCACCCTCTCCCCACACCTTGAGGTTTGGAATAGATGCGCTGACAGGCTATTTCTCAGGGATCGTGGTTGGTAGCTACTGACCCCAAAGGCATAGACCAAAGAAAATGTTGAATTGGTTATCACGGCACCTCTATATGTTTAACACCAGGGGGTTTTTTGACCAAGATTGGGAATGGGGGAAAATGGGTTACAGTTGTCTTCCCTTCCCCAGTATAAAAAAAAGATGGAAATCTTTCACTCTAGGAGATTTTGGAAGGAAAAAACTTTCCTGTAATAGGTCACTTTTTTTTGATGCGAACAGAAAAATATTTGCCAAATTGTTCTTTTTGTGAGAACTTGGCAAAATTTCCTCAGAACCCGGGGTTGTAACAAAACATCATTTTAGTGAAAGGCTGCTTTAGACTCACATCTGGAAATGTAATCATTTCACCTAAGAATGTTGTGACTCTGCGGTTGGAGCCAAGTCTGAGTGAGCCGTCCTACCTTCCACAGCCCACAACGTCGGCGGGTGAACCTGGAAGAGTGAGGAAGATGAGGAAACAAGTGCTTAGCCACCCATACTGGCCAGAACTGATGCTGGTGCCCTGCAGGGCACGACACATCTGACGCAGTTCTCAATCATCCTCATTGCCGAGGTCTTTCTCTCACATCTTTAAGCTAATCTAACCCCACGCTCTGGAACCTTCATCATTTGCTCTCTCACCCTGGATTAGAGGTTCCTGGGCACCATCCCTGTCTTCCTAGCAGACTGCGCCTAATCTCCCTGGTCCATGGTCCTCATTTTCTTTGTCTTGTCCCTGGGTCCTTCCATTCCTCAGCGCTCCACACAAACCATGACTGTCCAGCATTTATGTTATACTGTGTTACATATCTCACCATCCTTTGCTGCACAGGGATCATTTTAGAGGCAGAAAAGCTCTGCATATAAAATGAATTTGGGGCGTGGAGGAGATCAGGTGGGAAATATATCTATCTCTCTCCACACACATAATCCATTTCAAGACTTACAGGCAACTGTATCTGATTCAGACTTTTGGTCTTAAAAAAAAAATATGCAGTGGAATACAACCCATCAGGCAGAATTAGTTGAGTTTAGATAAAGGTCTGGAAAGCCATGAAAATAACCGTAATTATAGACATTGTGGTGATTGTTTTGCAATATATACAAATATCAAATCATTATGCTGTACTCCTGGAACTAAATAACATTATCTGTCAATTATACCTCAATAAAAAATCACAGTTATTCAAAGGAGGTTTAGAGGTAAAGGCCACCAACAAATTCTGCCTTTTCAAGGATACTTATCTATAAGAAATGGTATAGACAGAGGCCAAATAGCTCATTACAAATAAGCCAGCTGTCACAGAGGGGTGGAATGTAGCAGCAAGCTTTAGGTAGATTAAGTGATAATGAAATCTAGACCGTGAGAAAATTTGATAAGTGCCAACCAAACTTCCCAAACAGATGAATCAGAAATATGACCATTTGGCATTACCAAAGAATTATATGCTTTATTAAAGGGTTTTCAGCATTTTCAATTAAAAAAATTAGTTCCCCTGTTCATGAACATATGATATAAAATTCTTAAAAATAATAGACTATACGTCATCTTTCAGGGAGGCAGCTTGATAGAGTGGGAAGGAAGCTGAATCGCAGGCAAGAGAGATGGTGCCAGGGCAGAACATTGAATCCTCACAGGCCTTAGTTTGCTCATCTGTAAAATGGGTGACTGATTTACAAAAAAATAACATTCTGCAGAGATGTGAGGAGGTCATGAAGGGGCTGACAGGCATGGTTCCTAGGTATTTTTTCCCCCTGCTTTAACAAGTCTAATTTGTGTTTTCCATTTTTGACCTGCGCATGATGTTTTTGGTTTTGTTTTTTTGCGGTACGCGGGCGTCTCACTGCCGTGGCCTCTCCCATTGCGGAGCACAGGCTCCGGACGCGCTCACGGGCCCAGCCGCTCCGCGGCATGTGGGATCCTCTCGGACCGGGGCACGAACCCGTGTCCCCTGCATCGGCAGGCGAACTCTCAACCACTGCGCCACCAGGGAAGCCCACGCTTGATGTTTTTTAAACCAAGGGCTCCAAAGCTAAAAAAAAGTTTGAAAAATCTTATTCTAGGTGAACTCAGAAAGTATAGTTTGATATATAGAAAAGATAGGTTATAGAACGGGCTAACCTGACTTGAATTCTAACTCTGTCTCTGACAGAGTAGGGAAGACAAGAAATGCATGGTAAGAGTTTATTTTAGAAAGACATTCCTGGTAGGGCTATAAAGGATGAGTGTGAAGAAATAGGGGGTGGAAGCAGGAAAACTTTTAGGAGATCTTTAAAATAGTCTGGATATAAAATAATGAGCCTAACTCCTGCAATGGCAATAGAGATTGAATTGGGAATATAGATTTAAGGAACATTTGAGGAATTAGAATCTATAGGAAAAAATACAGTTGAGATTTATGGGATGAAGAAGTAGTCTAGAATGACTGCCATTTTCTGGTGACATTGACTGAAGGGAAATCCAGGGAGAGAAGCACTTTTGGGGACAAGTATGATGACTTCACACCTGCGCATCCAGGGTTTGAAAGGCCAATTGAATATATTTACTAGCGTCTGGAGTATAGAAACAAGAGCTAGGTAGTATAGGGAGAAATGAGAAATTTTTATATATGAAAATACAGAAATCATTAGAAACCACGGAAAAAAATTAAGGCCTTTTCAAGGGGGGAGAATCTGTGAGGAAATTAAGCCTGATTTCCCTCAGGCATCCATTGTATATAATGAATTAGTGTCTTTCCTGGACATCTAGAATGGTGTTAGTTATTAAAAAAAAAAACCTGTATTATTCAGGGTTCTCCAGAGAAATAGAACCAATAGGATACATACATATATATATATATACACACACACACACACACACACACACACACACCTATCTATATATGTAAAGAAATTTATTATAAGGAATTGGCTCACATTTTTATGGAGGCTGAGAATCCCATGATCTGCCATTTGTAAGCTGGAGACCCAGGAAAGCCAGTGGTGTAACTCAGTCTCAATTTGAAGTTCTGAGAAGCAAGAGTGTCAAGGACAGGGGGAAATCTATGTCCCAACTCAAGCAGTCAGTCAGGAAGGGATGATTCCTGTTCCTCTGCCTTTCTGTTCTATTCAGGCCCTCAGTGGATTAGATGATGCTCACCACACTGGGCAGGGAAAAATGCTTTCCTGTGTCCACTAATTCAAATGCCAATTTCGTTTGGAAGCATCCTTACTGATACAGCCAGAAATAATGTTTAGCCAAATATCTGGGCACCCCATGCTTCACTCAAGTTAACCTATGAAAATTAACCATCACATCATCTTTGGGTGAAATGAAAAAACAGTCATCAAATCCGTGTGTGTTTTGTGGTTTATGTGTAAGAAACCCTGCTTGAGAAAGATGTGAAAAGAAAACCAAATTCAAGACCCCGGGGAGCATCAGTGATACTGCTGAGGAGCTCACAGTGCAGCATATAACATGGACCTGCTAACAAATCACACTGACAATGACTGTAGATAACCATAAGGTATCAGGGCTGCTACGCAAGTCAGCTTCTGGTCTGTCTCTGGCTCTGTCTCAGGTTGTTTTTCCTCTGTCTTGGCTTCTTTATCCAGCTGGCACTCTTCATAAGTAACATAGTTCCCGGCAGCTGCAGGCTGTTATCATCCTCAATTTAGCAATCCCATTGGAAAACGCACATCCTTCTTAGCAATTGCAATAAAATTCCTGAAATCCTTCACGTTGGCCTGGGTTAGATCTTGGTCCCCTTCTTGAACCAATCACTGAGGCCGTGGGAATGGAATACGTCGACGACTTGGGCGTCTGTCATGAACAGCTGAAGAAATGCAATGGGTCCCAGCAGAACCACATGGACTTGAAGCATGGAAAAGAGCATGCTTGTCCAGGATGCAGTCATCATAAGAAAGAAGCCATGATATCAAGGTGACCAGCTGGCAGATGTGCACCTCAACAACGGAAGGAATCAATGGCTGACATTTCCTTCAGGAGTCAAAGAATCCTTCATGGTGAGCTGGGCAGCAGAGGTTGAATAGGAGTTCACTAAGATCATACAGCAGTATTTAGAGTTGTGAACCTTCCTGGTGAGGATGGCATGACTGAATTGTAAACCTGTCATCTTGCGTTGTGTTAAATATGGAAAGGACAGAAGGCCAAACTTCAAATCTTAGCCACACTTATCAACATAATTAATGAAGTTGCACCAGCAACTCCGAAGAGTGATTCCATATGCTCTTTTGCATTCCTCATCTTTGGGCTGTGAAACTTTGGAAACGTGAATGAACAGTGAGATGGCACATAATCTACTCATAATTTTAAAAAGCATGGTGCAGAGGAATGCACTGACTTTGAAGTAGAAAACCAAGGTCAGCTTTCAGAGTTGGGAAACAGAGATCTGGGTTGCGAACAAAAATCCCGGAGAGAAGGCTTATCACAGTGCACTCTAAGCAAAGATTTATTTGGGGGGCACTTCACATAAACTGAGAAGGGTGGAGGAGATTAATTGATTGCTGTAAATTTATAAGAGGTTAAGTTCCTGCCTATGAAAGAAAAATCAGAGAGTGGGCAGAAGTACCTACCAAAACAAAACTAAACCTTTCTGCAGTGCAGAAAGTGTCCCTTTGAACAAAATAGAAAATTTTACTTAAGAAAAGATGGAATTATTAGAATGTTCTTAAAAGTATATACAGATAATTTCAAAAGCAATTGTTTTCACCCTCATTTTGAATATGACCTGAAATTTTGAGAAAAAATAATAATAGAGAGCACTTCTACTTAATTTATTGAAAAAACTTACAACTTGAAAATAAATCAGAATTATTTCATGCTTAACAGGTCAAATGGTTTATAGCAAATAATAGTTGAGGAAGTGTTTTTGGATTTCAAAGTAAATTGTTAAAGTAACAAAGTAGCCATTGTGAACATGTTACTTTTGTATAACAATGATTGTTTTCAGAGAAATTTAGATAGTCACAAAAAAGTAAGCATAGGCTTGCGCGTTTTAACTGTTTAAAATAAGCTACAAGGATATATTATAAAACAAGGGGAATTTAGCCAATATTTTATAACTATAAAGGAAGTATAACCTTTAAAAATTGTGAATCGCTATATTGTATACCTGTAAGTTATATATCGTACAGCAACTATACTTAAATTCAAAAAATTTAAAAAAGTAAACTGTTTAAAGGTAATTGTGTGGGGGGTTCTCTGTGTGTAAAAAGCAGAGTCAGACAGTTTGTACATGTATTAATTTAATCTGAAATTGCAAATTTGAAAAAGAATCTTCATACCTTACAAACACTATGAATGATTTGTGCCATGAAATCTACCCATCCATTTACTTATGAATTGCCCAGTCAACAAATATTTCTAGTAATCTTTTGTTCCAGGCACTTCTCAGGTGCTGGAGGAAGAAGAATCAATAAACTAGAACCCCTGACTTGAGGAACTCACAGTCTGTTGAGAGTGCTGGGCATGTAAATACATATAACTCCTTTCTCCGTGCCTGAGGAGCTCAGTTAACTTTGTTCCAAATGACAAACTTTAAGATGGTTTGGTCCCAACAAAATGCTACATTTTGTTTTAAAAGCCAGTGTATACCCTTCTTTTAAGTGGATACTAGGGCTGCTTCATCCATGGTGAACAGCGGCAAGGTTCTCTGGGCAAGTCCTAGAGAAGAGTCTTGAACAAACCTTGAGAATGGATGGTTCACTCTCTTCCTGTCCAATTTCATATGTACTTCACCCTTGCAGAGAGCATGGCCCCAAATATACACATTTAACACAAGAAAAACATGTGAGTAGCTGCAGAAAAGGAAAAGAAACAAAGAAAAAGAAAAAAGGAGAGAGAAACAAAGGATTAACCAGAGAAAGAATTCCAAAATGTTTCAAAATACGTAAGAGGCAGTAAGCTTTGAGTGTGTGTACTGCAGACCCAAGGATAGAAATCTCGAGAAGATGAAATTATTAGGAGAAAAGTGAAGGCCAACCAGTAAAAAAAAAAAAAAAAAAATCTATTCTTTACTTTTTGAGGGCAGGATGTAGACAAAGATTTCAGCACTGTAGGCAGCATTAATTGAAATACAATATTCAGATCATGGGAAACAAAGTCATGTTCATTTCTGAGCACCATATTTGCCACGTTGGCAAATTCCATTGAATAGGGGAGAAGAACAAGAATAAGGAAACTCTAAGTTTCTTCCCGATTCTAGTTGTAGGAGTCTAAGTTAATTTAGGATTTATCACATAGGTTAAATGTGATCCCCAAGTAAAAGAGAAGAAAACAAACACCTTCACCCCCCACTCTTTTTTCTTAATGTGAAGGATGAATTCAATACATCTTATTAAAAGAAAATATCAAAGTCTGTCTGCGTGAGTTTGTTCTTAAATACCATCCTGGGGGAATAAGCCCTACATAAGGATTTAAGTCTGCAGACAGTAGAAGTTCGAAGATCTAGAATTAAAATAAAACAGAAAGGAGATTTGAATAATGTGGAGATAATGATTTTTCTTTTGATGCACATTTCCTCCAGCAAAAGTAAGCACTTTGCCTTGAAAGGTGTACATGATTTTTGGCTAAGTCATTCCACTTTTAGAATTGTATCATAAGGAGATCATTAAAGATTTACACAGTTTTCTATGAGTGTTCATCTCAGTGTTACTGATAATAGTGAAAAAATAGAAGTAGTGTACTTACTGAATGTTGGAGGATGGGTTAAATAAATTATCCACACAATGTAATTAATGTGTAATAAATAGTTGAGATGGAAGCTATTCACACTATATTGTTAAGTGAAATAAATCAGATTAAAATTTGTCTATATATATATATTTTACATTATTTTATTCAAAAATATGAAAGGAAAAGATTAAGAGAATAATATGGTAATTGTGGCTCATTTTGTATGGGGAGGTTATGGGTCTCTCATTTAATTTTCTTATTTTAGCTTATTTAAAAATTTTTCCTCAGTGAACTTGTATTACCTTTGTAATAATAAAAATGTATTTTAAATTTAAAATTATTTATTGCATATTTAGGATAAAAAATATACATATTTGTATTAGGGGTAATATATGTATTATAGCTATGGGTATAAAGGATATATGTTACGTAAAGTTATATAGATAGATAGATAGATAGATAGATAGATGATAGATGATGAAATAAAGATAGAGTCTCTATTTCTCTGATGCCCCATATGTAATCCATCACCAAGTGTGGTCAATTCTTCGTTCCAACCAAACTGACTTTTGGTTCTTTAAACATATCATGCTTATTCTTTTTTTAGGATCATCAGTTGAACTAACCCCTCTGCCTTAAATGTTTTCCAACATGTACATGGTTGGTCCATTCTCATCTTTCAGGACTGGGCTCCAATGTTACCTACATAAAGAGGGACTCTCTGACCACCATCCTTCAAGTGGCTTTCTCCAGTTTCTCTCTATCTTATTTCTCTGCTTACTTTCCTCAGAGTATTGATCACAATCTGTAGCTCTCTTGCTTAGTCATTTGTGTGTTTGATAAATGCCTGTCTCCTCCAGGATGTAAGTGCCATGAAATCAGAAACCTGTCAGTGATCATTGAATCTTCAAAACCTAACACTGGGCCTGACATATAGTGAATATAGGATGGATTATTCTTGAACACTTTAGCAAGAGGGACAGACAAGACTTTCAGCAAAAAAGCTGGAGAACCAGTGTTCAGTGTTGGGTAAAGATAAACCTTCAAGGTGTTACTAATACGAATGTGTATTATATAAATATAAAATTTTATATATGTATGTATATACATATATGCAAGCTTAACATTTATATACATACATATATATTTATAATTTATACATATTTAAAACATTTGTAAATATATTTGTATACACATGTAAATACTGTATGAAATTTCAAGCATATACAAAAGTGGAGAGAATAGTATCATGAATATGCTTCATGAGTCCATCAACCACCTTTAACAGTTATCAATTCATGGTTATTCTTGTTTCATAAACAGAACTCCTCATTTCTCTCCATCTGGATTGTTTTGAAGCAAATTCCAGACATATTATTTTTTCCTATAATTTTAATGTATACTCTAAAAAGATAAAAACAACTATAATTCCACTATTGTACCAAAATTAATAATACCTTAATATTTTAAATATTGTGTTTTCAAAAATGTATATTAAAATTTCTTTTCATCTAAAACACTGCTCTTGAACCCTCTTCTATATCCCATCTTTTCACAAATTAATCCTTAATTCTTAGGTTTCATGCAGTCAGAAATATAGGCTATTTCTCTTAACTTGGATAGTTCTTTAGCTTTCAAAAGTGAACTCCTTTTCAAGTTGCCTCAGGGATAAGATAGAAAAACAGTCTTTTCTTATGCATTATATATTTTGGTGTATTTTCCCGTGAATCTTTTTCTCTCTTTCAGTCTTTGCAGTTTGTTAATCTGCCATCAGATGATAAATTGCCTTCAGAGAGTAAATGATCCTGAAACTTAGTTCTAATGAATAGTCTGGATTTGTAGATAATCAATACGTATTTGTTGATTTAATTTTATTCTGATATTTGGATTTTGTAGATAGCATAGTTTTGATAATTTATGAGTTGCTGTATAACAGTATTCTTTCTTTTTCAATAAGCTGCTGGAAGTGTAGTTTTTTTCTCTGTATACCTTAGGCTGGTCCAATCTCTTAAGGCCATTTTAGGTAATGTTCACTAATTCATTGCATTGTGAGTTGTTAATAAGGACAAGAAACACATATTTTTCACAAGTGTGCAGTATCCTGGCAGAAAGGCACAATTTGGTGGCAAAACAGAAAATTCTAGTGAATTGCTGTAGATATGGCATATTTGTGCCAGGTTTCCAGTTGTTAATAAATTACATTCTTGTTCTTCAAGTCAGGACGCTAAGCTGACACATCAGTGTGA